GCCAGATCTCATCCTGTGCATATGTGGACAGATCTTAAGTCCTTATTACCAAGGCTGGTGACCAAATTGTATCCCTGAAAAGAGGGTGTCCTTACTGCAAAGAACACAAAAAGAAATGACTTTGTTTTTTAGTAGAATTTTTTTTAATAGTGCAGCTACACACACTAACATCATTCAGCTACTAGCCACTATGCTGTATGCTAAAAATAAATGAGTTGGAGTTTCTGTTTCCAAGATCGCTCACTTCAGATCTAGCTCCATGGAAAAAACACAAGGAACGTTTATAGAGAACTTTTCATGCTTCTTATGTTTACTCGTGTTTTCTCTCAGAGATCTACTTCTTTTTTCCCTTACATTACCTTCTAACTCATGAGGTAACAGCCTCTGAGAAATACTAAATATTGTAAACAGGACATGACTACAGCTCACTTAAAAAAATTAGCTTTGATGAAGTAAGTTTTATGCAATACAATTTACACTTTTAACTGGACAGTCTGATCAGAGTCTGGGAGAATGTGTAAGGTCATGTAACAATCATCTAAGGCATTAACCTCAGCATCTCCTTTGTTCCTCTGTGGCTTCCTGATCCAGCAGCAATGTGATACTATTACTAGGGTTTTGCTTTTTTTTTAGTTTAATACAAACATACCTTGTGATTGTATCTTATTTCTGGCTTCTTTCAATTTGTATAATGCCTCTTTTTTTTGGTGGCAGTAGCTCCGGGGTTTGAACTCGGGGCCTCACACTTGCAGGGCAGGCACTCTCCCACTGAGACAGCCAGCATAGTACTTTTAAAAACAACCATTTACATTTTACCACTTATGCTAGGTATTCACTTCTTTTTATTACTAAGTGGTATTATGTTGTTGGCTGTATCACAATTTACTCCACAATTGTTTTCTTTGTAGTTTTTGGTTATTGTAAGTTAAGCTAAGTGAACATTCAAATATAACTCCTTCAGGGTAGCATGGGGTAAGAAATTAAACTGGTTATTCTTGAATTTCTTTTTCAATAAACAAATTTTATAATCTTTAAATTAAAAAAATATAATGCCTTCATTTTTATATGTTTAGCTTTATAGGAAAGCTTTACATTTCAATCTGCTGCCTACTTTTGGACAACACATTCTGAATTAAAATAAAAAATAATCTCATCAAATTATTGATGCTATTGAATAATACAAATCAATGACCAAAAGAAGAGTCTCTAAATCTATTAATATTGATAATAGATTGCATATGTCCACATATATATATATATATATATATACACATATATATATACAATGTATGCATACTTTAGGATATGGAGAATAGAGCTCACAATTCATTGGGGGAGAGAGCTAAGTTATATTGACTCACAAATTATTCTGATTAACTGCTATTAAAGGTAAAGCAAAGTATTTCTGACCCTGGCCACTCAAAGTATAGTACATGAATCCATAAAAGTGGCATCATTTGGGCAAGTGGTAGACTGAAGAATCTCAACTGCTCCCTGTGATGCACTAAGTCAGGAATTGTAGCCACACCCAGGTGATCTGTGTGTTTGAGAAACACTTCTGAAGAGCAGGGAAAAAAACTGAATCCTATCAAGAGAATTTGTACTGCATATAGCTTTTGGGGGGCACTAGAAGCTCATTCAAGTTTTGTTTTTTTTCAAGTTTTTTTTTGTTTTTTTTTGGGGGGGTCCAGTCGTGGGCCTGAACTCTAGGCCTTCAGCTCAAGGCTAGCGTTCTACCACAATGCCACTTCCGGCTTTTTTTTCTGCTTATGTGGTACTGAGGAATTGAACCTAGGGCCTCATGCATGCAAGGCAAGCTCTCTACCACTGAGCCACCTTCCCAGCCCCTAGAAGCTCATTCAGAATCCAATGCTATAAGTCAAAATGTCTTTGAAGATATGAGGCTTCACCAAACATTACCCTCACCATTCCAAGGACTGTTTGTGGTTCATTTGTAAATTCTTTGGACACTTTTCTTCCTATTTTATTTGAAATCTTATTTTTCCATCTACTATTAGGATCGCTATAGATGCCACTGGCGTTTTCAAGAAATACGTAGGACTCCTTTCTTCCTGTTATACGTACATCATGTGTACTTCATTTAGACCTTGTGTTCATTCACTTACCAGTGCCAAATGAATCACCTCTCAAACACAACAATAATTCCAATTAATGCAGTAAGAATCATTAGAGAAGGCAAATGTTCAGAGCATTTAGACAAGGTAAGGTCTTATGTACCATATTATGAAAAACAAAAGTTTTAAAAACTGGTCCAGTGTCAGTGACAGTTTTTCAAATAAAAATAATAAAAATAAATAAAATAAAAGCATTTTTAATACAGATTTCCCTCCAGTTCAATTCTTATCTCATCCTGGGGCACAAAGTATTTATTCAGTGAGCAAAAGACAAGTCAATAAAGGAATGAATTCATAAATACTACTAGCCCCAATCATTATTATTTTGTTCCAGGTCTCTCACCTCTATGAGGTACAATTGCTGAACCACCTTCCCTAGGGTGATGCTACACTAGCCTTTAACTTCTCTGCTTCTTGATTTCTCTTTCCTCCTCTGCTCACCTAAACATAAGGGCTCTCAGGCTGATATTCCTATTTCCTAAACACATGTTCTCATTATTTCTCACTCAGCTACTTGGCAATGATCTCTAACCTTCCCTTCAAACCTAATCCAATGTTATGTTAGCATAAAATTCTCCAAGCATAGTTCTTACCCTTCCACTCAGGCAAACTTTTCAGTGGCTTCCTATTGTCTTCCGAACATGTATTAAAATCACTTAAGCCTATCATTTAAAACTACTATATTTTGATCCTTCCATTTTAATTCTCATCTTCTTCCTCATTTTTTTTTTTACTTTGCCAGCAGCAATACAAATGAGCGGTAAGGCAAGCAGATCCTCTAGATTTCTACCTCCCCTCTTGCTCTATATGTTTGTATTAATTTGAAGTTTGCTTAACCTCTGCGTAACGCACTCAGTTACCTTTATAAAATGAGAAATTACAATACTATGCAACAGAGCTAGTATCAGTAGTAAATGTAAGTATCTGGCATATGGTATAAGTAAGGACACTTACAATCTTTTTTTAATTTGTCTTTTAAAAGTGAATTACTGAAATACTGGCTGGCTATTCACCAAGTTGCCACTAAAAAAAAAAAAAAAAAAGCTCCAAAACTTCCTGGTAAAGATCTTAAAAAACTTACGACAGTGCTATTAATAGCCTCAAAAAAAATTCTGTTTCCATTACTGTGATTATTTTTGCACAGTAGTTTTGACATTTCAGAGTATCTATGACAGGAAGCCTTCTGGATATAAAATGAAAAGCATTCAAAATAGTAACTTTTGGCAAAGCTTATCTTAGGACAAGACCTTTTGCTGGCTAGAGAAACCACATCTTTTTATGTTTTTAATGACAAAACTGAACTGACACTACAGTAAAATACAAACAAGTAGTAATTTCAGATTTTTAATCAAAATAGCAAATGTGTCTAAAGCAAAAACAAAATCAAGAACTCTATAAAACGTGTGAGCTGGCAAACACATTTTGTCTTACACTAAGTTTATTATAATGTTGCCAAAGAGCCAGCTTTTGTGTCCTAGGCTTGGCAAGCAAATACTGTGGGACATTGCCATGTTTAACAAGGGAAAGATGAAGACTAGAATCTGTCAGTCTTCGGCTAGAAAAATAGAAAGAGAAGAATGAGCCTTATGCAAAAATTGACAAAAATAGTTTAAAATTTACTGAACACATATGACAGAACTGTTCAAAATGTTTTAGAGGTATAATTCTTTTAATTCTCAAAGACACCCTTTAAGGAAGGTATTATTGACATCCATATTGTACAGAAAGAGACTGACTATATCCCAGAGAAATTATCATCTGCCCAGGGCTACCCGTGTAGTGTTAGAGCTGAGACTTGAACTCACACTCCAGAATCCATGCTCTTCATCATTATGGTATTTTAACTCTCAAAATCTTTCCATTTCCTTCGTGTCAGAAAATGTAAAGATTGAAGGGAAAAGCCCATATTCTATTGAATTTAAAGTTGCTGGCAATAGGGATTTAGCCCTACCCCCAGCCTAGGTGAATCATGGTAATCCAGGTCTAGTAGCCCTGGAATATGCTGGGGAAGGGCTTCAAAGCCAACAGGAGTAGGCGCAGTGTAAGTAAATAAGAATCCAAGAGATTCTCGAGGACTCAATTGCAGGACCATTATAAATGTCCATGTGCTGGAAGTACCATAGAATGACAGTTTCAGTCAGTATATGTCCTTCATAAAAGGATTTCCAAATAAGATAGCAATCTAACACATTTGCTAGTAGAATAATTGTCCTATGATGAACCTTAATGAATAAGAAAGGCTACAGAGGTTCATGGGTAAAATACACAGCTAACATTTTTTTTTGTTCTAGAGCTTTCTCAACAAAAGTTAATAAGTTTCTGTCTGAAACTTGTACCTAAAAATCCAGGAATAAGCAGTGAGGAGAAGAATTGGCCTAAAATTCCATTAGGATACTTTAATGAAACTATTATTATTTCACTTAAAGACAGGAAACTAGGATTAATTCTATTCAGAAAACACCCAGAGACAGCAAGTCACTTGCTCAAGGTTACACAACTTATTAACTACCAAATTTCTATGGTATTTGTATACTACATAAAATTGTAATTTGCATTTCAGGGTTTTCTTACTCCTAACTTCCACACTGGCTTACCACAGTCCCAAACAAGGCTGTTCAGATTGATAATAAAAATAACATAACTGGTACAGCTTAATTTGGGGACACAGTGAAGAGGCATTGATTGATTTTATTTATTCTCATAGGCTTTCTGGCCACCTGCAAAACTAATGAGAGAAAATGACAGGCAGTTGTATACTCAGAGGAGATTTGTCATCACCTGCTAGAGACAGAACATTTTATAAGGAGTAGTATTCAAACATATATCTAAGTAATCTCAGACAATGGTAGTGTTACTGCAGCTTACCTGCACTTTTAGGAATCGTTCCCTAAAGGCTCTCTGTTCCTGAAGCCAAAGAATATTCTAGGAGATACCAGAGTAGGATGATACAGGAGAGAAGCTATCTGCTGAACAGTTGAGGCCTCTCTGCTAGAAATACAGAACCCAAGGTTGTGCTGCTTCTTAACTGGCAGGTGCTGAAATAAAACACAAAGAGAGACAACTTAAAGCCAAAATTTAAAGCAATTTTCCAAAATTTAGTGAAGACTTTATTGTAGTACATTCACTTGTGATTACCTAAAAGCTGTTTTATAAGATGATAACACTAACAAACAGAGAATCAAAATGAAAGAAACAAAATTCCAACAGCCAAACCAACAGCAAATATTACATTGCTGTCATTCATGACTGGTTTTTACGTTAGTTCAGTCGCCTTGAAAAAAAAAAAAAATAACATATCCAGCTCAATTACTCCAGACCAGCCAGGTGATCAAAGAACTGTCTTATTTTTCAGTTTCTCTCCATACATACACACACCTTTATTGTTAAATGCAGAGGTGAGAAAAGGAGTTACTGCTCTCAGAACCCATAGAGGAAATGAAAATGGAGAGGAGGAGGTCGACAGGAGTAAAAATATCTAGAAGAAAGCGAACAGAAAGGAAGTATGGTCAAACTATCAAGAATAGCTACTGAAGGGTAAGTCTACACCAGGAAATGGTATGAGCCACTTCTGGAAAAAAATAAAATAGTTGGGGGAAAAACAAACCAAAAACCTTCCCAAACTGATCCTCCTCCAACTTTTCTTATATAAGGTTAATCCTGACACAAAAACTAACAAAAGCTACATGCTCTCTTCTGCTAATAGAGAATGAATATCTTTTGTTAAATTCTCAGGGAACAAATATAAATAAAATAAAACTAGTAGTTTATTTCAGAAGCCACTTAGTCTTCCAGGAAAAATAATTTTGCTTGAAAATGATATAGCAATGTGAAGAAAGAGTCCACCAAGACACAAAATATTAAAATGTTGAGCACACTAAGATTATTTATTTGTGTTATATGTGTGCACATAAATTACTGAAAGGCATTAGAAAAAAACATAATAGCTGATATGCTGAGCTGTGGATCACTAGATTTTTTTTCTTAAAATATATACATTTTAAAATTAGTAGAGAAATGGAAAATTCTCATTTTTATGTATTTCCATATATGTTTGTTTTAATGTACTAAGTAATTGGACCCATTAGAAATGACAAGAAAAAAAGTGGTGCTCTCTTGTGCTCTCCAGAAAATATAATAAAGTCTTCATTATAAGATGGAATTCTGAAGTTATGGATATAATAAATTTATGCATCAGAGTCATCTTCTCTAAATGTATAGAAATACAGTTTCTGGATTCTTGTCATCATCTATGCACTTCTATATCTTACTAACAGGACTAAGATATCAATCACATTTTTAAAGTAGGAAAGAGTTTTAGGGTTATTTCATCTAGATAGATCTATGAAGAAAACTCAAATGATGTCATATCAGAAACAGCTGGTTGAAGAGAATCCCACTACTTAGACAGAAGCTTAAATCAAGAGAAGAAACAAGACAGGTCAGGCTCACATCTGAAGGACTTTCATGAGGAGAACTAGCATGATTCTGCAGATTTACCAGGGCACTAAGTCAAGAGCAGTGAATGCAAAAGTCAGAAGTTAGGCTTAAGCTCAATGTTTGGAAGAATTCCTACTATTGAGACTTCCTAAAGATAATACATAATAACAGGCCGTACCACTGAATGCTGGGCCACTTGTGACTAAAGATATTCTGCTGTAAGGCTTAGTTAGGGTCTATACAGCAGCACACTGTATTGCACAATCTATAATGAGCTTCTTAAGACCCTGTTTGGACGTTCTATCAGGGAAACACTGCTACTCATTATACTCTTGACCTGAGCATGCAGATTCAAGATGAATGCACATGGAGCAGTGAGGAATAGGACACGTAGCCAGGCAGATCAGACCAACCAATGGCAACCAATGGGCCCTCACACCCATGAGCATTTTGGTAAGATGTCCATTTAGATTCATCAGGTCCAAGGCAGGGCCTGATTATCATTTCCAGTAGGATCCTTCATAATGCAAATACTGCTAAGGATTCTGCAGTAAGTAGGCAGGGATTCATGGAGGTTGTTTAAACTTGTGTTTCCCAAAATGTGATCCTGAACTGTCATCCAGCTACCTGATTTCAAATATCCTGTCCAGTCATAATTTGGGGACAGATGATTAATAACCAGTTTCTTTTTGAGTCGACATTTTTCAAGTTCCAATTAGGTATGGCATGCTAGTGGTTTGAAGCACTCCTACAGTCACACCTCAAGCAATAGTTAATTTTGCACAGTGCTACAGAAGATATATTCTGTCATTTAAAAAAAAAGATACTCTAACTGTGACCTTGGAAAGCAATCTAAATCAATGAATAAATTTGTTACTTCAGTATATAGTACAGTTAATGAAAATATTAACTGTAAAAAAAACAAAAAGACATTTTTCCCCAGTGATTTCTATAAAATCAAATGTCTCTAAAAGAGCTGAGTCTCCCAAGGTCATAGATCACAGCCTTTGTCAGTACAGAGCTTAGCATTCTTTTCCTTGATCTGGCATTTAACCTTCCTGCCACTAATTTCATAAAACTCCTTTTATGGGGCTGGGAAGGTGGCTCAGTGGTAGAGCGCTTGCCTTGCATGCCTGAGGCCCTGGGTTCGATTCCCTAGCACCACATAAGCAAAAAGAAAAAAAGCCAGAAGTGGTGCTGTGGCTCAAGTGGTAGAGTGCTGGCCTTGAGCTGAAGAGCTGAGGGACAGCGCCCAGGCCCAGAGTTCAGGCCCTACGACCAGACCCAAAAAAATAAATAAATAAATAAATAAATAAAACTCCTTTTATGACTTTCTTGTTTCTTGCTTGATTAGATCATATTCTACTTCTCAATTTACCTAATCAATTTGGGCTTTCAGTCAACTTAAAAATCCCATAGAATGCTTTTCCTGGAGAGAAATGCTGATATCTGCATACATAGCTCTTCCCCAAATTTGAAAGCATCCCTATGTTTCTCTCCCAGAGGAACTAATCCTAAAACTAAGAGGGAACTTAGCTCCTGTCCTGCCAGAAAGTAAAAAGATTAGTCTCCCTTATAAAGAGTTTGCTAAAAAGTTACAAATAACACTCCATCTGATTCATGAGTTCTTTTTACAAATTACTTCTAGTTTATTCTGAGCAACATTCTGCTAGCATCTCATATCTGTGCATTCTTCCTTCTTCTGCTATTTTTCAAAAACAAGGAAAGAAAAGAAATAAACTAGGTCAAGAGAGAACAATCATATGAGTATATATCAACCCTCAAGATTGCACTGTTGGAAACTGTCCTGGTTTCCAAAGCCAATGAAAATATATGGAAATATTTATGCTGGTATCCATTAGATGATCTCCCAAAGCCACGTTACAAATACGTATAAGTACATGTGTATTTGTGTGTATACACATACACAAGCACAGAACATATATATCATAATAGATACGTTATAGTTTATTAATACAAACAAACTAACATATTGGGATGTTTTTTGGGAGGAGGGGAGGAGTTGGTCATAGGCCTTGAACTCTGGGCCTGGACACTGTCCCTCAGCTCTTCAGCTCAAGGCTAGTGTTCTACCACTTGAGCCACAGCACCACTTCCAGTTTTCTGGTGGTTTACTGGCGATAAAGAGTCTCACCTTCCTTCCTGCCCAGGCTGGCTTCGAACCACGATCCTCAGATCTCAGTCTTCTGAGTAGCTAGAATTACAGGCATTAGCCAATAACACCTAGCTTGGGCATGTATTTTTATGCAATCATATTCAATGTACTTCCTAACATCACAGGTAATCCTTAAAGCCAAGTACACTGAGTCAAATTAATTTCTTTTTAACATTAAAAAAGCTCATTAGCATAAACTGTGCAAAAGGGTGTTCCTATAATACACATATGCAAATAATGTACTTTGATTAAATTCATCCCACCTACTTTACTCTTTTATAATCTCTCTCTCTTTCTTTTTAAATTTTTTCATGGGTTACTTTATACTCTTCTCAAATAAGTATTTTATACTTCTATTATATTTTCCTTCTGTTGTCCTCTTCCTTTCCATCTTCCCTTTTACACTCATTACATGTAACTATTATTTTTAAAATTTTTAGGTCTAGATTCTGCATGAGTGAAAATATGTAATGTTTGTCTTTCTGAGCTTGGCTTATCACACTTATTTTAGTGATCCCAATTTCATCCATTTAAATTCACTTCTTAAAATAAGGATACAGGTTGACTCATTATAACAATGAAACGTACAAGCCATTATATTGACAACTAACTTTACAACTTGGGAGAGGGAGGAGTGAGGAGTTGGGGAGGTGGGGAAGGAAGGGATGGTAGGGAAAAAACAAAGAAGGGGGTAACAATGCTCGAGAGGAAATGTACTCATTACCTTATCATGTAACTGTAACCCCTCTGTATAGTATCTTTACAATAAAAATATATATTAAAATTAAAAATGAGTAAATAAAATTTTTTTAAAAAACTAAATCTAAACATTGTTTCTCACCTGTCACAGGTAACATTTCTTTCAGTAAAGAATTTCCCAGCGTCTACTCAATGCCAGTCACTGATCTAGGCACTGAGGATTGATTAGTAAATAAGTAAAGCTGTTTACAAACCAGGGGGAGGCAGACATAGCAAGTCATTCATAAGCAATTATTAAATTACTATATTAAAATTCTGACCCAGATATGGGAGAACATAAAGTAGGTCTGATAGATGAGAAAAAAATTAGCCAGATTAAAGAGTGTATGCAGAATGAATGTTCTATACAAAAGGAAACAGTATTAGCAACTATTCTGAGGTGAGAATGAAAGTGATACCAGGGAAAAACTGAGCCCACTGATAGGTAGTGTTGAAAACATTAACAGCCAAACTTTTTATTGCATGCCTACTAGCTCCAGACTTCACACGCAGGAGTACATAAAACCCTCAGACCAGTGCTTAAATGGGCACAATCCTCATACTACAGGTAAGGAAATGGAGGCCAAATTAAGTTAAATCATTCCTCCAGGGTCTCAGGCTAAAAGTCCTCAAGCCCTGTTTGGGCCTAAGAATGTAGCTGCTGGGTCTGCTCTTAATCTCCAAGATATTATAGCTTCTCAGGAGCCAGGTCACCTGGAAGCTTTCCTTATGTTCAAAACCTATTCTGGTAATTTCATTTTCACAAAATGGCATTGTGACATTCCAGACACATTAAACAATAGCTCCAGTCTCATTTTCAGATTCTTGATGAATATATGGTCACTATTATCTATTAGCAAATATTAGACAGAATTTACTACAAAATTTTACATAGCTATCAAATGTTCATATAACAAATGCATATAAACGTATTAGACAAAATAATGATATCTTCTTGGATTCTTTTATGCATGCTAGGCAAGTACTCTACCACTGAGTCACACCCAACCC